CTCGTCACGATACTGCTTTCACGTTTTACTGCGCACCTGAATTTTCAGTGGAAGTTTGTGGGTCAGAGTAGGATGATGACTTCCAATGAAATTTATTTTAGCAATTTTTTATATACGCATTTTTCATATTTGAATTATTTTTAATTTCCCTTTCTCATGAAAACATGACTTTTTCGAAGGACTCGGAATGTTTTGTAGCGCTTCAAACATTGAATAATAAAAATATTGCAACAAAACAAAATTGCGACTTTGAGGATCAAAGTAGGATAAGGACTTCTGATGAAATTCATTCCATAAAACTCTCAATAAACCATGATTAATTAAGTGATTAACGAAGGAAAATAATTTCCCGTTACTGATTCTCATAAAATGAGTGGCTTTAATTTCTTCTTTTTTCTAAATGAAAAAAAAATGTAAAAATGTCTCTCAACACATACAAAACAACTCGTGGATCGTTATTTTTCCTACTAAAAAATGAAATAAAAACTGACATTTGAAAGCATATTGGATAAGCCTCTCACGACATTTCATTTTTCAATCATCTTCAATTAGCTAATTAAATTGGGTGAGAAGAATTTGACAAAAAATTATGAATAACCATTACTTTTTTGAAACATTCAAAATGTTTTCTAACAGTTGAAAATGAAGAATCAAACTGAGACTTTTGAACATGGAATCATAAAAATAATTCATTAATTTGATGATTAACAAAGAAAAATAATTTTTCGTTTCTGATTGTCATAGAATGAACCGCTCCGATTTCTTCTTTTTTTCAAAATAGAAGAAAAATGTAAAAATGTCTCTATCAACCCATAAAACTCAACTCGCGGGTCGTTATTTTTCCGACTAAAAAATCAAGTAAAAACGGTAATTTTAAGGCACATTAGATAAGCCTCTCACGACGGAGAGAAACAGCAGCCGATGATGAAAGTGAGAGTGAAGCGCATCCACCGAAGAAGGTGAAAATATAAGCTTTTACTCTCTACTTTAGAGCCCCCTTGAAGCAAAAAACCCGTCCCAATAGAATCCCAAAACATCTCTCGGTAATCAATTCTCCCGAGTCATCAATTTTTAGCGAAGGCGCAGGTATGTCGAGCCAAAAACCTCTGAGGAATGCCGGGGTGATCCCAATCAGGACCTCTGGTCCATGACTGGACGGGTACCTGTGGAGGGACGAGAAGAAAACCTCTGGGATTTTCTCAAAATCATTTTCACGCGCCCCCGGGGAGTAAATCGCGTAATGGATAATTGACACGTGACGATTAAGTCCGGAATAATTGTTCGAACCGGTTATTTTGCACAATGAGATGCAGAATAATACCGGAGCACTCGAGTTTCGTAAGAGTAAAAGCAAATTTCGTCCTGTGGATTATAATAAAACTCTCTAGGTGTTGTCGGAGTCGATGGCTTCCGCGTTTCGACGGGAGTGTATTATTAAATTCCGGGGTAAACGTTCACGCGATTACAATACATTCGTCTGTCAAGTTCATTGTGCAGGGGATTTGCTATTGTGACGCATTGAGGGACAGCTGGTGGAGGACTGCATGACTAATTGTTTATTTTAAATAACAGGTTCGTACTTCTCATTGGGGAGAGGATGACATTATCTTTCAAAACTTTTTATATCTGATGCCTGAATGACACGATTTTGATAAATTCCGACTCGTTATCCTGGGGTATTGACGATTTAAAAAATATATTTTGATTAAATCCGAAAGAGACTGGTGCTTTGAAAAATCTTCGATAAGTTTTTGCGGAGAAAAAACACATTTACAGAAGGAAACTTTCTCTATCTCCCTTAGATGCCGGGGTATCTTACAAAAAATAATCTGTTCTAAAGTGAAATTGCATTGCTCATTTTCTGAGATCTTCGACTTGATTCCGACGAAAAAAACGTGGCATTTCTAAATTCACTGAATATTTCATGAGATTCCAAATTTTTAGCAGCAGCAAAACATGAATATTCGGTAGCAAATTCAAGCACATATTCACCTAAATTTTCTGGAATTGATTTTTCCGTAAAAATTTGATTTCCAATGATAAAATTCCCTGAAATTCAATGAAACTGTAAAATTTCAAAAAAATTTACCGGAAATTTCAGCCATAAATTTTCTACAGGGCGTCCTATCCTATTTTATGATAATATCATCAACACTTTGCAATTCTGCTACACGACCTGAGACTTTGAAACATCGTAAGAAGACCTGGACAGCCTTGTCTTGATTTAGCAAGCGAGTGGATAGTCCACTTCCACTTGTGCCCGACGAGATGCATTCCCCGCTGATTTTTCATGTTTACCAATGAGATTCGTCTCATCACACTGCTGCCTGCCCATGAATCCCCCATTCAAAAGGTCACCTCCGAAAAAACCATTGAGAGAGCAATTATTTTCTCCACTGGAGTCGCTGAAAATTTTTTTTTACCAGAAAAAAAACAAAGAATTCTGTGCAACTTTTAATAATTAACCGAGACAGATACTTCTTGTCACAATTAAAAGAGACTGTTTGCCCTGCCAATGGGGAGAGGGATAAAAAAAATGTCAGTGATGCCGTTTGATAAGAAGCCTTGATACACTTTCCATTTTCCTTGATGGAGTCAGTAAACTCATAATCCATGCATTGGTGTTTGATTTTTTGCCGCGCGTGGTCAAAGGGTCGAGGATTCTATTGCAACATGCAATCAAATTTTCAGGCGTTCTATTGAGTGATGGTACGAGGGGCATATTTTACTCCACAAATACATATTCTTCAGCAAATAATTAACTAATCATTATTGATAATGATTATAATTATCGGCGTTGATACACAGAGAGAAATTTTCTGCAAAATTTGGACGGCCAGGGGGTAATTCCAGTGCCGGCACCGGAAATTTTATTGAGTAGCACGCGAATTTTTCCCGTTCTCATATCAAATTTTCACTGAACTCCCCGGAAATTTTGTCTTAGCCGCACTAGAATTTTCCTAAAGAATTTCTCTCCGTGTAGTAATAATTATCATCGTCGTTATCATTCTTCATCTTAATATTATTGTGATAACTATTGGAGGGAATCAATGCACTTTCACAACTTCAAATAATTTTTGAGCTGGAAAGAAGATAGAATGACGACGAAAATGTCATCCCTTTTTTATTTATCTTATTTGAAGCACCCAAGGCGTTCTTCCGATATTTTCTCCAGGCTTTTATCGCAGATGAAAACGAAAATAATTGGACGGGAATTATTCGTCGAACCTTCAAGTAGCCAATGACATTTTTTATTTTTATTTTCTATGAAGAAAATGCCACTGAAAAACTTGTTCAAAATCGAGGTGATTATTAAACGGCTAAAAGAGCCTTGTCGCGAGGCTTATTAGAGGGGTAACTTGCGTTTATCATCGAAACATTGTTTTTACGGTGTATTTTATTGTTATCACATACGAAAAAAAATAGTAGAAAATCCTGGCGCTTTCTCTGGGAAATTCTGTTGGAGTTCTAGTAGAAAATTCGATTTTTTTATTACGCCAGTTGATGTAATTTTCGCGTGCATTTTTCAATAGATATTTGTTCATAGAAAAAAGTAAATGCATGTTTATTTTTCAATGCAACTCTATTGTCATTATTCTGCAAGAATTCTTGAACTAGAATTTTCTGTTTTTTTCGCTTTAATTTCATTATGAGAAAAATTCGAAAATTTATGCCCTAGAATTTCTATGGGATAATTGAAATCTATTGACTTTTTTCCGTCAATTACCTCTCAACAGAGTGACGGGGTGAAATTACATAATCGTTAGTAAAATTGGAGCTAAGAACGCGTAGAATTTTTTAATAGAATTGCAATGGAAATTCGACAGAATTTCTTGAAGAAAGCGCTCGCTTCTTTTCTTAAATTTTTCCAACCGTCATAATAGTGAAAGAACAGAATGATAGAACAATAAAAGATAGAATTCTTAAACTACAATTTTTCAAATTTTTTTCTTAAATTTTGTTATGAGAAACAAATGAAAATACGACGAAAAAAAATTGAAAATTTATGACCTAGAATTTCTGCAGGATAATTGAAATCTATTGACTTTTTTCCGTCAATTACCTCTCAACAAAGTGACGGGGTGAAATTACATAATCGTTAATAAACCGGGGCAAAGAACGCGTAGAATTTTTAAATAGAATTGCAGTGGAAATTCGACAGAATTTCTTGAAGAATGCGCTCGCTTCTCTTCTTAAATTTTTCCAACCGTGATGGTACGGAAAGACATAATGATAGAACAATAAAATATCGCTGGTTACGTTGTCGACCACGTGCTCACCATATAATACAAGAATATTTTGCAAGATGCAGCTCGGAAATGGGTTCGAGAAAGACTATGATTACGCAAGTGAAATACTGTCATTTTTCCTATTCAAATGGGCGAAACGTACGCACTTCTCGCGAGAAACAGCGGGCGCAGACATGTCAAAAGCCGAAAGGCAAATAATTAATATTTTTTTTTAACAATTACTATTGACATATTATTTGTTATTATTATTGTTACGCGATTCAAACTCATCTCTATTCAACGTAACGATTCGGATTATTTCAGGACGATATCCACTTCCGGTTTGGGGAATCGTGTGAATAATTGGCGCGGCGACATCGGCATAATTATTCGATGAAACATCGGGATCAGTTCTTAATGAATAGGAAGAATGAGATTTCATGATTCCAGGGGTAGTCGACTATGAAGCGAACTAATGGTTTTGCAGTGAATGATTTCGAAATTATTCGGTGGGGCAATGGAATTGGTGATTTGGAAAATTGAACAACTTTTTCGCGATGGAAACGAATAAAATGTGTCGATTTGTGCTGAGTTTCCAGTAATTCAATTTTTCCATTTTGAAAACAGATTTCGTTATTCATTTTTTCGTGAAATTTTTCATTGAGAAGGTTCTCTTCTAAAGTTGCTAACACATTAGATATTATTAATTTTGTAATTTTGCTCTGAATGCAACGATAATTTTAGGAAAATATGAAATATGAAGGGTCTTACCTTGATTTTATTACTAGCTCCGGGTACAGAGAACTCAAACCCACCGAAAGCCCAGAAAATTTGAATTTCCGATTCCCTCGGGGATCAAAGGGAACGCAATTTGTTACTAATCCAAAGACAATTGGAGTCACCGGTAATTTCCCACTCCCTCCATGGCACTGTGTCCCGTAAAAAACTTGAAATTATCACAAATAAAAATTGAAGATGGGTCAATGGACCACCGGCGGTGGCAAGCGAAGAACTGCAAACTCGTATTTCGATCCGATGGAATATGCACCGGCGACGGAGGGTCTCACCCTCGGGGATCTCCGCGATCACTCGTCGAGTCTCGCAGGGAGGATTTCGGTAAAGCGGGCACTTCGAAAACTGGAGGAAAGCCGATGGAAAAAACTTGAAAAAATTTTATTTCGATCCGATCTATTTTATCGTTTGACTTTCCGTGGGACTCTTCGATGTCATCCAATCAGTCTCACGAGTTCGACTGGCACTCTCGGCGCACCGTTCAACTCCACCAAGTGTCTCGGACTTTCGAGGCTACTGCATGGGGCTAGAGAGTATTCGAGACACGACGAGAAGGTGGTCGAAGCGCTTGGTGGTGGGGTTTTGTGTGATTCTGGTTCTGCACGATGGGGGAACTTTTATTGAACACAAACGGGGATAATAATGCCCGGCGTGTACCACACTTATTCAGTTTGGCACATCCTTCCTAGTTCACTATATTTAGATTACTTGGGGAGCAGGGTGGAGATGTCAATGTGCTGATAATTTTTTGTCATTAACATTTATCCTACAAATGCAACATTCGCCTCATTTGAAGTTCGCGGGAAGTTCTGGTTGATTCCATTTCACTTATCATTTCGGGAATATTTATATTTATGGGGTTTCGTGGCAGATAATTCAGGGGTGGAACATTCGGTTTTGCAAAACGAGAAAGACTGATTTTTTCTGATGTTTCAATTGGTGTCTGGTAGTTTGAAATGGAGAAGCAATTTTTTTTTGTCATTAATATATTTTTTTCTAAATGCAGCATTTTGCTCATTACCAGAGGTTTATAACATTGTAATATTTATATTTACATTTATCATTTTTATAAGTATATATAATTTTTCATTATATATATAATCATTTGTCATTAAGATTTCTTCTCGAAATGCAACATTTGCCTCATTTGAAGTTCCTGGGAAGTTCTGGTTGATTCCATTTCACTTATTACTTCGGGAATATTTATATTTATGTTGTTTTGTGGCAGATAATTCAGCGGTGGAACATTCGGTTTCGCGAAACGAGAAAGACTGATTTTTTCCGATGTTTCAATTGGTGTCTGGTAGTTTGAAATGGAGAAGCAATTTTTTTGTCATTAATATTTTTTGTTCTATATGCAACGTTTTGCTCATTACCAGAGATTAATTAAATTGTAATATTTATTTTCATGTCTACATTTATAATTTTTATAATTATATATATTATTTTTTGTCATTAAGATTTCTTCTCCATATACAACATTTACCTCATTTCAAGTTCGTGAGAAGGTCCTGTCGATTCCATTTTACTTATGTGGGGATAATCGTTTAAAGGATTTTCAGTTAAATAATTTTTCTCAAACACACATTTTAAATATATATATATACACGTTTATTTATACAGTTTCTATACACTTAAAGACTCACTCTCTCTCTCTCTCTCTCTCTCTATCTCTCTCTCTCTCTCTGTTGATTTCTTGAGACTCTCCTCTACGATTTCGACTCTAACTCTATAATAAACTTACTCCCCGTAAACAATATACCTGATATCACTTGCAGCTGCGTCTACAATAAAACATTACAACTCTGCTCGGAACTCACTCGTCGTAATCCTACCCTATAATAAAGTTATTCTACTACAATGGTTACTCCCTAACATTTCAGCGTGTGGGGCCAGAATTCAAGGAATTCAATCTTCGGAAGCCCCTACTCTTCCGTTGGAGGCGGACCTAGAATAGACATAAACAGAGAGAAAGAATCGGCCTGTTTCACTCTCACACGCCGAGAATGATTTTACTGCGCAGCCCCGTCGCGCAGAGGGATACACAGATTTACCCAAACACATTTACGTTGTCGATGGTGGGGGAAGTCAACTTCCCGGACTGAAATGTTAGGGCACCGAAATGTTAGGGAGTAGCCAGTGAAGTTCCCCAATGTCTAGACTAAGTGTCGCCTAGTCTCCCGCAAACAATATACATCTATATACATGGGAAAATTCCCGATACCACACTTTACATTTATCATTTTTATAATTATATATATATTATTTTTTGTCATTAAGATTTCTTCTCCAAATGCAACGTTTCCTTCACTTGAAATTCTTGAGAAGTTCCCGTCGATTCCATTTCACTTATCATTTCAGGAATATTTATATTTATGTTTATATTCATGTTGTTTTGTCTCAGCAAATTTGTTTGTTGAATATTCAACTTTTCACAGCAAAGAAAACTTCAATTTTTTTCAGGCGTTTAATATTGTCTTTTAATTGTTTGAAGTGGAGAATCAGATTCAGTTTGGTTAAAGTAAGTTTTGAAAACGTTGATTTTGAGAAGTATAGAGTGTTACAAAACATTGAAAATTCCTTTCGGGAGAAATAATAATAATAATAATAATAATAACATCAATAATTAAATAAAATAATAGATAATGGAATTCAAAGGTTGCAGGAGAAAAAAATGAGAATTGCTTGAATTTTCAATGAAAACATGAATATTCATTGCCAAATTACACTGATTTTTCCTAATGTCTATTAATCTTCATGAAATAATTGAACTCAAATTTAGTTTCCATTAATTTTCCCAAAAAAATTGTAAATTCTATCAACTTCATTAACGAAATTTCTTTAAAAAATACCAACGCTTAGACATCTTTAATTATCATTTTCTCCACGCGCCTAAAATAATCGAGTTTCAGCATTTAGAAACTGGTACCGGCAGTATCTCCTGTACGCGTAAATTTATAGAGCATTCTCTCACATCATTTATATCTCCGACGACTGGGGATTAATGATTTTATCCGCGTGGATGTGCCGAAACAAGACGTATGCAATTTCTCATCACGAAGATATTCGAAAACAAAATTCAAAAGAATAAATATTATGATCAAACAATCGCAGTTAGTGACAAGCGATTTGAATAATTAATCAATCATTATTTTCGATGTGAGCACGCGTTAAATGCACATGAACTCACAACACAATTCCTTCATCGTAATCGGCCACTCGGCACGGCACGGAGCGTGCGATAACCACAAGGAATGCAATCCCCAATCATTAATCATCGTCGAATTGTCTTTTCCTGTTCAACCTCTTCATCAAAAAATCGCCACTGATCAATACAAAAAATGTCCAAATATCTAGTCCCCAGGGGGAAAGAAATTCACCATTTCTGAAACCGAAATGAGGACATTCTGGGTCCTACGAAAATGATTTTCTTCTTTCAAATTTCTCCGACAAAGGATCTAAGCCGTCACAGGTGCGCTCGATCATTCCGCTTTTCTCAGGCGGAACGCGTATTTTTCATCGCTTCATCTACCTGAGTTCTCTCGAGCAGGTAAAAATCGTGAAATTCCAGGATATGTAGGATTTTTCGTGCGGCCAATTTTCCTGTCAGCTGAAGGGTGTGCGTTTATTGTTACTGGGAAAAATGATGTTGGGATCCCAGAGGGCACGCCTATTGGTTCGTTCAACGCGGTTTTAAATTGATGATTTTCATTTTTCAAATTTGCTCTTTCTTGCATTGGAGGTGCTTTATCTAAGTTTTTATTGACTTTTTGGGATCAAAGTGTAATTTTTGCAATTTCTTTATTAATGGAAATTAATTCAATGGGAAATTCATAAACATTTATTATTATTATTATTATTATTAGTATTATTATATCTGGAATGGGATCAGATGACGTGGAAAAATGCACTAATTCATTCCTTTTTCAAAATTTGTATTGATTAATTTTTCTGTCTCAATTTGACTCTTCATTTTGGGACCGTTAGAAATAAATTTAAAAAATTTTAATTATCATAAATACTTCATAAATAATCAATCTTTTGTCTCAAATAACTATTTTTGTCACAAGGCCGAAAAAAAAATTTCTGACCGGCGTGAGGGTTGCAGACCGCGGCGAAGTCGAGTTCGTTGATGGACATTAAATAATAATCCATTTATCCGTAATGAGAGAAATAACGAAAAATCATGTCAACTTGTGGTGTTGTTCCAGGGTTACGTAAAAGAACATTCACCTAGTTACATGCCGCCTGGTGCTTCTTATGTTCTTTAATGAGAGACCTAATTAATTTAGGCGCAACTTCCGGCGTGAAAAATTAGATGAACAATTTAAATTAATGCGGTTGCTCAAAAATTGTGAATTCCAGCGGATGCTGACATCAGACTGGCGCGATCTTCATCGTAAACAAAATCAGACTCAGCGGCCCGTAAATATTCCGTTTAAAGTTGATAGTTAGATTGTCGAGAGTAGTTAATGCTCAGTGCTCGCCTCGGTTCGCATGTCAGAGCTGTTAGTCGCGAGTTTATACGTACGGTTATGCACAGTTTACTCTGTGTATACCCATACAACCATTATGTTTCATTGTCATTTGTCTCTTCCCACTGGGGTCGTTGACGAAACTTAACGACTTCTGGGGAGTTTAAAACTGTTCTTAGATTCTTCTTGGGAGTTGGGTGGGGGGTACGGTGCCCGCGTGCGACGTCGATGCTGATATTTTCGTTATTTGCAATTATTTTGGAAAACGAAATTTCATGAATGAAAAATTCCAGTGAAAATTCTATTGCATCTCAATCGCATTTGTCTTGAAAATTCTGTAAGCTTTTGAACACTTCCATTGGAGAACTCTGCGTTTTTTTAATGGAAAATGGCATTGATGACAAAAGATGATCAGACATGATGACAGACATCATCTTCCGTTTTCAATTGAAAACAGATATCAGTCAGACAGTGGGGTCTAGGAGTCTCCCCGGGTTAAAAAATCATCCTTATAATCATTTGCACGCAATTTCGACAATAACTATTAAATTGTTTCATTAATTTTTTTTTGGCCGTGACTATTCGCACCATTGCGTGAATCACTCCCGTACACTCCATACACTCCACGCATGCGTGAAGTTTGTGTGTTTCACGCAGACGAATTTTCATACTGCTGTGTATTTCACCAGTTGAAGTTTCATACTACTGTGTGTTTCACGCAGTTGAAGTTTTATACTACTGT